TAACAGCACAACAACTAATATTTATTGTTGACTATGCACAAGGTATAGGCCTTTTATCAATATCATCTTGCTAAGTTCATGGAACGATTTTACTTTAAAAATAAAGAAATTGAGAGAAATTAAATAACTCGCCAAGGTCCTCTGGAGAGCCAGGGCCAGGATTCAAAGTCAGAAAGGGTGATTCCAGACTTATCTTTTAACCTATAAGCAAAATTGTTCTCTACAAACATGCCCCTAAAAGGAAGACTTACATCTATAGTTAATCAGAGGCTGCATTGATTTTTGCAACAATTTATTTTGTTGTTATGGATGTTGCCTGTTAGTTTTACACCTGAGTTTCATTGCCTTTGATTAAACTGTAGTGTAAAACCAATCCATCTAAGAACGTTATATTTGCTTTCTACTCTCTACAGAGTCCAGAAAAGGGGTCTGCCTAGATGCTTCTTGAGCTATGAAAAAAGAAACATACATGTTTAAGTACTGGTCATACAAAATAACTCATAATGTTGCATATGTTTTTCTAGAATTCTATCTTTTGATGTTTGTTTTATTTTTTCTAATCCTTCTATAATCTACACATTTTTGGCTACTCAGGTAGTGGCAAAAATGCATTTTCATTGTTTATTCTCAATCTACTAATCTTTTCATCATACAACTAGACACAAGGGTTAATGTATATTCACAAATAAGATGCAAAATTCTAGGATTAGGTCTCATAATTTCTGCCTTCAAGTTATAATGTAAATCAGTCCATGGATTGAGAGGATTCTCTAAGACAAAATGTAGAATACAAATGAATGAAAGTAAACTTTGGATCTGAACTGGTAGTATATTCCTCTACTTGGAACATCCATATAAATAGGACACACACACACATACACACACACACACACACACACATACACAAATGCTTGGTTGTCCCTGGCCCTTGAGAGGCACCATTGCATGGTAGAAAAACCACAGGCTTTGGAATAAAATTGACTTGATGGGAAACTCTTCTCAGTCTCTTGCTGTAAATGTGACAGTGTGTGTAACCTGTTTGAGCCTTATTTTCCCTACCATAAAGTGGGGATATTAATAATATATGGGTAAAGTACTTGATTCGCAGTGATAAAGCCTCTCTTCAGACAAACTTTATTCAGGCTCTTCTGAATCCTCTTTTTGACCAGGCTTCACACTTGGGCTCTGTCCTTGACTCACTTAGTACAGTTTTAGCAAGAATTTTGTTGGATCAGTTTGCGAAAACCCCTCACCATTGATATCGGATCAAATTCCTCATCCCTTACCCTTGGTATCTTATCACCCTGGCCTGCCTTCAGCAAGAACCCTCTCAAGTCAGTTTAGCCAGAATCCCCCTACCTCTGATGTTTTCTCTTGGTAATTTTCCATCCACAGCCCACACCCCACTCCTTGGTTATACAGCTCTGTTTGTCTTTATTTCCTTGAAATCAAGTTCAGTTCTACACTAAGGTCTCTTTTCCCCTATTCCAATAGTTCTGGAATAAAATTTGCCTTCACCACTTTAAGATCTGCTGTCTGGATCTTGTTTTCTCTGAAAGTAGTGGCATTCTAGAAATTTTAATTTTTATATTATAATGAATATATTCTGTTTTAAAATTTCAATTCATATGCCCTACCACTTCCAAATGTGTAAACTTCAAAGATAATGTAAAAGCATACAATTTAGGAAAACCAAGAATGCCTCCCCCTCCCTGTTTCCAAAGTATATAAGACTTGGCACAGTCAAATATTGAGTACTCATTCTCAGTGAACATGACTACCAGGGGAAAATAGTATAGAAGTTAGCTAAGTTTCAAATCTTAACCCAACCAATTACTATCTTTGTAACCTTTAGACAATTTACATAAACACATTGAGGATCAGTTTCTACATCTGTAAAATAAAGCTAATACTGTTTGTATTATTAGGATAAAGTCAAGTTAATGTAATTAAAAAGATACCAAAATACAGTGGCTTAATGATATAGTTTATTACATAGTTCTGAGGTGAATGATGTGAGGCATCATGGTGACTGTAACCCCACACAGTGATTCAGGGACAAAGACATCCTCCATTAGGTTATCCTGCCAATTCCTAGAGTGATGTTGTCATATGCATGATGGAAGTGGAGTAGTTGCCATGTCTGAGTTCCTGTGAGAATGAAAGTAAAAGATATTGTGAAGGAGGAAAACCCTATATATCTGAGATTGCATACATGACTTCCACTCAAAGTTCCTTTGCAAGAACTTTACCACATGGTCATATGTAACTGCAAGGAGTCTGGAAAATAAAGTCTATCTGGGAAGACATTTGATTGGAAAGAAAGGGAGATGGAGTTTTTTGTGTTTATTAGCAGCCTCTGCCATTTTTTACTTAGGATTGTTGTGATGATTAAATAAGATTATCTATAAGAAGTGTTTCTACAATGCTTAGCACTTTGCAACCACTGAAAAAGTGTTAGCTGGGCTGTATTTTTGTTGTGTGACTCAAATATTCTATGATCTAAGCCTTAAGGAATCAAGGCATAAAGTAACTGGTGACTAATGAATGCAAGCATATATCTAAAGAGCAAATTGATGAAAGTATCTGAGAGCTAGAGCTATTCAGGATTCAATAAACAGTAAGCTCTTACTCATACGATAAACAATCTACTAGACACTTCATATTGTTTCAGTAAACCTCCTAACAACCTAAATGAGTTAAGTAAGATTACCCCTGTTTTTGAGATAGAAAAATGAGGGTAAGAGAATTTGGTCCAAGATCACAGATGTGGGTGACATCTGTGATGTCATCACATCACATCTGTGATGATCACAGATGTTGGAACAGCAATGGAGCAGGATTTTGACTACAGTTATTTTAATTCTGGAGTTTTCCATCATCAATTGTTCTGTTTCAAGGATGGGTGAAAATCAGGAGATATTAACAAATAAAGTCAATTGACACAATCATATTTGGGGACTTTAGATAGTGAGTCATATTCACGAGAAAAGAATTCCGAAGAAATGAAACAAGGAGATTATATCCTTTATATTTCATCACCACTAAAGGGAAAAAAAATTAATTGCTAGAAACTTAACTACAAAGGTTATCTTGGCATTGTATTTTGTTTTACTTATGGATGGTTTTGATGAAGTAGTTAAAAATCTATTTGGTCTCTTGTTCCAGAATGATCTCTCATTTCATAAATTATAACCTTGTCTATAAAGTTTTCTGAATAATGGAGAAACTATAAAAGAAATTTCCTGCAAACAGAAGCAAACATTCATAAAGCCAGTTAATCAGAAATTTGTTAGTGAACATCAGAAATTTCAAAATTACATAGAAGAAAATAGTAAGATGGAAAAGGACTTAAGATGATGGGAAAATGTAACTTAACATGAAAGTAAACAACTGAAAATGTTTTATTTTTGTAAAATCAGTCCAATATATTTTCCATATACATTTGTGTGTGTGTGTGTGTACCTCATCCCACTTTCTACATATAACTTTTGTGCATTATATGTACTCCTAAAAGACCAATGGGGCTTAAGATGAGCTTTGAGTAATGGCTAAGATTTGTACAGTACAGGAGAAGAGGAGATGACATTTCAGGTAGAAGGAATAACATGAACAAAGATGAGACAGTCATCATGTACTAAATCTGGTCTGATCCTGAGAAGGGTTAATTTTGGCAGTTAAGAAGAAAAATTGGGAGGCAGGACACACATTGGTTAACGACATGGACTTTTTGAGTTATATGAGTTTGATTCCTGGGTCAACTCTTGAGAACTGTGTAATCTTGGACAGCTTTCTTATCCTCCCCAAGTATTAGTTTTCTTGTCTTTAAAAATGAGGATAGTAAAAAAATAAAATGATATAACCAAAGCACTTAGCAAAATGCCTGGTTTATAGTAAGCATTAAGTAGTAATAATAGTATGGAAACAAACATAAAATGTCTAGTTGTGGGATTGAGGAACTAGTAATTGTTAGTTCTCTGAATAGTCACATCACAAACATTCAACACATGAATATGTAGGTAGATTTGTCTGGCACTTGGATGTCATGCAGTTTGCAGTGAAAGCGTCTACCACTTTTTTGCTGGATTAACCCAAGTACTTGTCTCCCCACACTCTTCTTTCCTTTCAATTTCCTGTCCTCATCACTTAAAATATTGAAATGGATTACTGCTTAACAAATGAAAGTTTTGAATGATTTTTGTTAAATCATCTGGCTTTACTTATACTATAATGTTTCTCATTTCTGTTTTTGGTTTCTGCTGATGTGGCTCATTGTTTCCTTGGGTGATGTTCAGGTTAACCTTCCCACCTCCAAGGTTGAGATCTATGCAGAGAAGGCAGCCAGAAGACAATTTTATTTGCCCCGAGCCCCCAACACACACCCGAAGTAGGCAGTTTCTGTGCCTGGACTAAGTCTCCTGAGCAGTCTTACAACCCCTCCCTCTTCCTCTGGCCTTTGTGCTTTTTCAGGTGGAAGGAGAGAAACCATGAATGATGTTTTCTTTTTTGTTTTCTGGGAATACTGAGATGGGGTAGAGGTCAATAGGACTTTCTTTCTATATATGCTAAATTACAATTGCATCTCACTTCATGGCCTGATGCTTTCTTTAAATCCAGACACTAAGCAGATACCGATATCTTTAAATTTGGAGGCACATCATCAACTCTCCCAAGGCCTGTAGTTATTGCAGAATCAGAGTGGGTCAGCAGATATTTCGCATGTACAGCCAAAGAGCTCCCGTGACTGTAGAAAGCCCTGGTTTCTAGGAGTGATTTTATTGAAGTCCTCCCCAAAGTGACTTGGTGGAGAGGGAGGTCACCCACCCTTCTTCCACAGAGGAAGGGGTGAAAAGAACCTACTCATCTCAAACACTATACATTTTACAATGCAGAATATGACTAATTCCTCCTCTCCAGCCTGTTCTTATATAGCCAGAGAAGTTGTGATTTCTGGTGGTGGTAGAATCCATTCTACCTCTTCCTTAGTGAGCATTGGTGGATTTGTTTAAGAAAGTAGACTTTTGAGTACCTTATTCATCTGAACTTTGGACAAGAACGACCAATTCCAGGACATGTGAAAAATCCCACTCAATATTCTATTAAAATATTATCAAGCATTTTTTAAGCTCTATTCCATGAGGTAGATATGATTAGTATCCCAGTTTTAGAGATAAGGAAACTGCGGTCTCTTGAAGATTAAGGAACCTGACTCCTGATATACAGTTGATAATTGGCTTTGCTAGGATTGGGAATCGTATTTATTATTCTTTGAAACCACTTTCATATTTCCACTGTGGCACTTTATTTCAACCAGTAAATCTATTCAGTCTCTATAACTTTAATTTTTTAGCCAAATCTATAGAATTGAAAAATTATATTCAGTAAGTCTATGATTTAATCAGATTCTCTCAGTTAAAATACAAGATATAAATCTTGAATTATCAGTATTATACAAGTAAACAAGCAAAATCTGATAGATTTCTACTTATATATTATTTATAGGCTCAATTTTAAAGAGAGTGGCAATGCTCATAAAATAGAGAAAGCAAATAACCTTGTGTACAGAGTGAATCTGCCTCTCTCTATTTGATAAGTTAGGGCTGAATTGTTCCTATCTATCACTGAGCTGTTTGGCTTTAAGAAATAAAAGTGATCATCTCATTATAAATTCTTGGAAATAACATCTACTTAAAAATAATTCCTTCAGTTGGCCCACACTTTGCATTTCTCACCTAGAAAAAAAAAAGGTAAGGATGAGCAAAAGCAGGAAAAGAAATACAGTGTCATTGAGGTTGTTAGGAAGATTATATTAGCTATTCTCCTTAAACTCAAATGTGTTAAGTATCACTTTATTTAAGACATTTAGATATATGTGGCAATGTGTTTGTTCTGGCTTTTTATTGCATTTTTCTATTATGCAAGTGAAATGGTTATTTCAAGCTTCCTGGTGGTTGGTTTTGTAGGAGCAACTTGGGAAGAGAATTCCAGTTCCACAGAGAGTTAATTAATGTGGAAAACAGGCATTACCCACATCAGGCTGCCAGTTAACATCAGGACAGTTTGCCTTCAACACACGTGTGACAGGATGGATGGCTGACTCTTAGAGTTCATGTGATGAATTTGAGAATTGAATACTCTCACGTTGGCTGAAATTCCCACCTTGCAAAGAAGAGAAAATTAATGATGGATATGTAGGCAGGTAGTAATTAGTTAGTTAGATGGATGGATAGGAGGTAGATAGGTAACTAAGTACGTAGGTAGAAAATTACTTTGTTGGTGTCTTTACACTGAGCATAGATGTATTCGTAACATCTTACGAAGAACCGTCAAACCAATAAATGTTGGGCATCTTTCATGAATACAAAGAAATGTAAGACCTTCAACAAGCTTATGTGGATGGGAAGTAATATGTAAACGTAACAAAAGTTAAATGATGAAGTACCTAATTATCATTTTAAGATAAACATTGGGCTGCAGTCATAAAAAGTGCGTGCAAATGAGTGTTCATTTATACCGATTTGGGAGTCCTATCCCTGTTGCATCTATCATCTATTTATCTATCTATCATCTATCTATCTATCTATCTATCTATCTATCTATCTATCTATCATTTATCTACTATTATCTATCTCCCTATTGCTCTATCCATCTATCTATGTAATCTATTATCTATCTCCCTGTCAATTTATCTATCTATTTATCTATTTATCTATCTATCTATCCATCCATCCATCTATCCATCTATCACCTATTATCTATCTCTGTCTATCTCTCTCTCTCTCTCTCTCTCTCTCTCTATACTATCTAATCTTTCTACCTTTGTATTTTATTGTAGAAATGGATCATGTACCAACTATAGTCAATAGTCGGGAGGTTTCGTTTTCTCTTCTGATAGTTGAATAATTCCCTCTTGAAAAGAAGCCCTTACTTTCGGTAAGATTTATCAGGTTAAAAAAAGGTTTTGATTTAATATTTGAAGATGGACTTAATCTCCTGCTGTGCTTTAAGCATTTGAAAACCTGCTGCAAAGTGGCATTTCAAAGACAGCTTAATATTAAATTCAGTTTGCAATATTCATATCTAATTGTTATAGGAAGCATTGCTCTGTTAATAAGTAGCAGAATAACAATGTTATTATGTTTGGTTTTCATAGGCCTTTTTAGACTTTTGTCAAAGGCTGCTGTTCTTACAGATGTGTAGAGAAACATTTATACAAACATGAACTCTTACACTTAAAAAAATATGGATTGTCATTTTTTATTCAGCTAAGATATTCTTGAATTGGTACTGTATTTTCTTATTTTAAAAGGTCTAGCTCTAAATTCAAATCCACTGTATTATAATGTAAAAATACCAATGAAGATAATGTAATACATGCAAAACATATGCCATCTCTTCTAGAACATGATAAAATAACTTACTGAAGCCTAGGTATTATAAGTTAATTATTTTGAGTAGAGTGGAGATATTGATTGACATTTCTCTTTTATTTCAGCTGTTCTGTATGTTCAGAGTATCTTTATACCCCCTATACAGCAAAAAAAAAAAAAGTCTTATGTTAGAATACTACTTTTATCTGGAGACGAAAAAAACGATTGAGCATACAGTCATTATTAATCATTAATAACATGACAGAAAAGTTGACTGCAGTGGGAAAAATTAAGTCAGTTTTATTATTCATTAAGACATCCTGAAGGAGTTAACTTTTCATAGAAAGAATAGACAATAGAATTATATTTCACATTTATGATGTGAAATATGACCATTTGCTAAACTGCTTTGCCTTTTTATAATCAGATTTTCCCAATGATTTATGGGAAAATACTAATTTAAATGGTAGTATTACCATCTGTCATCACCATCATTCAGACTTTGTTGTTCAGGTTTTTTTGCATCACATAAATGTTAATAATTTTACCTTTTCAAAGGAAATAACTTATTTTAATATGAGATTTCAAAACATGTTAACTATTAGTATAATCATTAAAATTTATTTTAAATAATGTTTTCTGTGTCCCACGTTTGATCTGAGCATAGTGTCACTTTAGATACAGTCTTTGACCATAACTATGGCTTCTGAAATGATTATTTTCTTACAGTAGTAGCGTAAGTATGTAATTCATCTCCAATTGTATTATATTCATAGTTTGTGCTCATTATCACTTAGTTTTACTGGAAAGATGTCAGAAGAAGTTGTCTGGTCTCACAGCAAAATGACAAAGTATTTTGTTCAGTTCATAAAATAAAGTATTAAAATTTTAATATCTGCTTTATTTTAGGGGCCATATAGTATAATATTAGGGATCATTTATAATTTTTATACATTTTTTCTATAGATGATCTTGCCTCTTCATTAAAGGGAAAGTTGAAGGTCATCCAATGTATTTTTCCTTATTTTTTTCCTTTTTCAATGTTTTAATATCTTTACATCATCTTCCACTTCTCTTCTGTCTTTCCTCTTTCAAGAAGATACCTATTCAACCTATCCATCCATTCTTCTGTGAGACTAATACCTTCATCAGTGCCTTCTCTTCCATTTCCTCAGACCTTCTAAGACCTTCTTTTAATAATTAGCCCATCTTTCTCTTGGTTCCTTCATTCCCTCAACTTCCCATTTTTTCTCGTTTCCTTTCTGGCCAAATTTACTGAAAATTCAATCTTATTGCCTCTATTGAGTTTATATTCATGCCTAACTCACTGCCATGACTCCTCTTCCTGACACTTTACAATACAGATTGAGTTGTTCCCAGGCTCTACTGAACATTTCTGAGGAGGAATAAAATTCTCAGGGTATGTATCCAAAAAAGAATCACTCTAGCTATTGAGGCAACAAACCCAGTTGCAGGAAGAGGAGTTAGGACAATTTTCTAAAGGTCTAGGGGTAGAAGATGGTTATCTGAAAGGATGGGGCAATGGAAATGGCAAGAGGCAGAGAACTCTAAGAGATACTTAGAAGATAGAATTACAATATTGATTTACTTGGCAACCATATAACCCCATCTGAATCCATAAAACACTCAGCTATAAAATAGGACATAAATATAATACTATTCTCCTTCTAGGTAATACATGAAAAAGAATATATGTAGATTTTACTGCACAGTGAAAAGTGATAAGCAAGTTACAGATTGGGATAGTAAAGTACTCTCAAATTCATTCTTTCTTCCTATGGCTTTAACAAAAAATAAGAACGACAACAACAACAAAAAAGCATCGTGCTACTACGGAGAGGAAGTGAATTTTCAAACCAGAGCAAAAAACCATTGTTTTATAGCTTATATAATTAATGTAGGCTGTAAATCCCAACTTTAAATTAGGAGTACTACATAAGTAAACCCAGCTCGTATTTCCTTTTAACATACATTCATTTCAGATAGCAAGAAAAAATAATTTATAAGCCATGAGAATTGAATTTGAACTTGAGAATTAGTTTAGTTCTAAACCCCACATGGGTGACTCATAAAGTTGACACTCATCTTTGAATAATATTATGTCCCTAACAAAAGAATTAACAGAATCTTATTAGCAAGTTGTGTTATGTAAATTTTACTGTATATAATCCTTGCTAATTTCTCCACTATTCCATTTGCCTTCTCACTGGATTTATTTTTCCCCATCACTAATTATTTAAGATATTTGTTTAAGAAGAACTTGTTGAGTGTTTGCTCTACTCCAAATACTGTGGCAGTGCTGCAGATACAAATAGAAATTAGAGGCGTCCTCTATCCTTACTTTCAAAGGGCCACTGACCTGAAAGTAACTTCTCTCTGCCTCAGGGTCTTTGCATACACTGTCCTCTCTGTCTGTAAAGCTTCCCCACTACCTTGTTCTCTCTAGATGTCCTTACCACATTCTCAGAACAGCCTGCACTTTTCCTTTGCAGCCTTTACCACAGTTGTAATTAAATAATTATACATGTAATTATCTATTTAATGGCTCTATCTCCTATTCTACTCTAAGGCTGAGAGCAACTGTTGTTTCCCTAGAGCTTAGCACAGCACCTGGCATATAACAGCAGTTCGAAAATACTTGTGGAATGAATGAATGAATGAACAATGAATGAAAACATGATGCAATTGCCCAGAGAGGGCAGATGGAGGTAGAAAAGGAGACAAGCCAAGGACAGAACACCAAGGTCACCAATATTTCAGAGGCAGACAGTGCTAAGAAACAGAAGAGATAGAGGTACCTGAGGAAAAGCTCTATTAAAAATAAAATAAAATAAATAAATAAACTTTGAACTTAGAGTTACAGTGTCAACAGTGTGTAAATGTGATAAACTGTAGTCTCAAATAGGCCTTCCCTGACCCCCTTGTTGCCCCATCCTCTCATCCTTATGATTTATCTTCACAGCACTTAGTGAATGTTTTATATACTTCAACCATCTATCCATCTATCCACGAGTACACTTGGATGTATTATTTTTATAAATTTTATTATTATTATATAAACATATAAATTTTCTATTATCCTCTTGGACCACATCAGTAATGGTATTGGAGAATGTGTTCTACCTGATAGCATAAAAGATTTCTCAGGCAACTTTCTGCTCAAGAAAGTTTAGGGATTTGAGAGTCACAGAATCTAAATCTCTAACAGTCACAGAATTTTTGAGTCCAGGCCGAGAGTTTCTTTGGCAGTATAACTCTCTTAAAAAATTGATTCTGGTTAGTTCCACAAGCCAGTAACTATCTCCACAGATATTTCTTTTTTAAGCAGTTCATAGATCTGTTTTCTTTCTCTCTTTTCTGGTTTTCTTACTTCTCTCTCAATTTGAAGGACAATCCTCTGAGGTTTTCTAGCTTCTGAGTGAAACTGACACCTTAACCTGATTTTTTTCCGAGTCAATTTAAACTCTTCCGGGGTTAAAACAGTAGGTGCGAAGGCCCTTTCCTTGGTGTGATCTTTGCCACAAAACCAGGTTTTAATCAGGCTTTGTTGTGCAGAGACCTTCTATTTTTGTTCTCAAATGATTCAGCAATTCTTAAAATATAAGTCTCTCAATTTTTGGAATCTCTTGAATATCTTTCATTTCTTTACTGAAATGCACCTCTTCTAATATCATGCCAAATGCAGTCATTTACACAAAAAGCACACTTAAACATCTGTCCTCCAACCCTTTTCCTGATGCTGCCAGTTCATTAAACATACATGATTCTTCACAGATCATAACAAGCAACAGTTTTACCAAATATTTTGTTTCTGTAAAATATGGATTGCCATCTTTCCAAATTCCAATGTCTGTTTCCATGCTACCCTAGCCCGATTGCTAAGCTAATGTCACATATTTTAATTTTATTGTTATTGCAACAGTCCTCTCCTTGTGCAATTTCTATATTAGTCAGGATAAATTAAGCTACGTTGCAATAGCAAACTACCACTAAATCTCAGCAGCATAATCCCCCAAATTTGATTTCTGTGTTATAAAAAGTTCAGATGAGTGAGGGCCAGGGTGTCTGTCTGGGCACTCTGTGCAATAATTCTGACTGCCTCGACCTCATGGCCATGCCATCTCAACACCTCATGTACAATTTCCAAAGCAAAGGAAGTACACCTCTGCTCACTGCTCTGGGGCTGCCTTGTTAATGTGAGAGTGAAGGCTATTGTTTGTCTGGCTGAGGGCTGCAAGCCAAACTTAGAAGTTCAAGAGAATTAAAGAGCCTTGGACACAACTTTGACTCATGGAAGCAAGCAAATTAAGTTTTCCCCATGTCTTCCTTTAGACACAACTGACCTGACCTGTAGTTTACTTAGGTCTTGGAGGAAGTTTCTGCAAGATCAAGCAGTTCCGGTCAAGGTGACTGGAAATACATCTTCATATTGAATCCCTCTCCTCCCCTTCCCCACTCCCCTTGTCCGGGACTCATGCTCCCTGGGTTTGCAAAACTGAGAAAGTAACAGGTAAAATAGAAATGAAGACAGCATCCTAAGAAGGACTCTAAATTGACTAAGAAAGCAGCCAAACTCCTTACCTATCATTCAGGATCTTTCCTGGTCCAGTCCTATCGACTGTGAAATGCCATTTCCCCTCAGAAATCTGATTCTTCCATTCCGAAACATTGACCATAGAGTTTTTGTTGTACCTGTTAAGGTACCAATTATTTTTCTTACTTTGATGATAACTTTGGGGAGTGCTTATACATTAATACATTCAACAAATAGTGACTGAGAGCCAGGCTTTATACTGTAGCTAAAGCAAGAATTAAATCAAGAAGACAGAGATGCCGCCGTACAGTACCGGTGGGAATGATAAACTTGGATACAGTCATTCAGTAATTAAATCCTGACACCAGAACACAACTCAGATCGACCTCAATTTCAGAGCCACACTCTCATTTCAAAGCTCTACTCACTCTCTCAATAAATATTTATGAATTGTTTCACTTTTACTATGTGAGTATAGTGAGTTATTTATTTTCTACATTTGGGTCTGTGGGAGTTTTAAAGTATTCCACACATCACATTTTAAGGTCAAGTGATGGTGAAAGAAATTGTCAAGAAACTGCTGCTCTGAGGACATCTACAGAACTCACATGAGAAAACACATTTGAGGGAGGACAATTAAAACCATATATGTAGCCGTGTAAGAAAAAAGATTTTTTTTTTTTTTGGTAAAAAATAAATTCTTCTTCCCTCCCTTCTCCCTTCTTTCCCTTTCTTCTTTCCTTCATAACCACTCTGGCTCTTTGTGTGCTATAACCTTGATCTTTATACCTAAGTAAACTTTCTAACTCTCAACGTTATAAAGCTCACTAAAAAACAACTATGATATATTCACTTAACTAAAGGGCACAAAAATGACACACTGACTCCATTCTTTAAAAAAAATAAAAACAAACTTGCAGAAGCCTTTTTTTATAGTGTTGCAGAATTCCTCTGCAGTGTCTAACTTAATTTCTCTGGTGCTGTGATGCAAATATTAAAGCAAGATTTTAAAAATCAGCAAAAAAACTGATGAGTGAAATATCAGCCAATTTGGGTACAAAGCATACTTTCTTTGGCTATTGTTATGGAGTCAGTATTTGTAGGGAATGAAAGTTTCTTAATGTGAAATCTGTGGAAATAGAGCCTTCCAATCTAAAAGCTAATGCAAAAAAACATTTGTATCATTGGCAAATCAGTGATGTTTCTCATCTCTAGAAAATCATATGAAATAGTTCACCGTTATTTTTTTTAGTATTTTTTCTTAATTTTGCTTTATAATATATATTAAGCATCCTTGATAAGATACAGAAGATAATTCCCTAAAATGTAGGGAGACAATTTCATTAGTATATTCAGTCTGATTGTGGCTTTCTTTAGTAAAAGTGTTCACAGACTCACTAAAATGTAACTTGATTTTTAAAAGTAGAAACATGGCCCAATTAATTTTACAATTAATTCATTTGTTCTACAAAGCTTTGATTGTTTCTTCTGCCTAAAGATTTTATGTAGGACAGTTAGAAAGACAAGCTCTACAGTCAAGATGGATAATTATTTTATTCACCAACTCTTCTAAATATAAAGCTGCACTAATAATAGGAAAATTTGAAATGATCATTAACATAGTTATCTATGAAACCAAACTACCCTTTGGCTGGATGACTAAAAAGTTATAAAGCATCATGTCAGTGTCTCCTAACAATAGATCTTGATTTTGACAAAAAGTCTCATAATCACAATATTTTAATTTTCATAGAGTATGAAATTACTTGCTCTAAATAAGCTAGGTATCATCTAAAATAAATAAATTATCACCCTTGTCTACTTCTAAGGTAAACATGACCAAAATTAATATAAGTACAGATGAAAGTATGAAAATTGGAAGTAAAAATTTGAGAACATTGGACCTCAAGCAATATAATGCTAGAATGACAACCACATTGTCTAATCCAGAGGATGTATGCATGCATGTAGGATTTGAGTTCTACAAATTTAATTCAAGGCTCAAGATACTAAAGTTGGTGAACATTAGGGATTCTAGATTTTTAGGTTGTGCGTGATGGGATTCGGTTTGTTTTTGTGGCTTAAAATTAATAATTTCCATTAAGGAAATTGCAATGCCTTCTCCATACTATAAAGCTCTTTATGTGTACTTGTAGGGTTAGAGCGGCTTTGAGGATGCGGACATGTTCCCCTGCATATGTGAGTTGCAGACAGTATCTTGGTTTATAATGCAAATTTTATGTTATGTGTGCCGCAAAATAATTTTTAGTGCATACCGTCAAATTTCCTTTATAAATTTGTTAGATTACATAAATCTATTGTGCATTTGCACACGACATGGGATTTACATTTGATTCACTCACTTTCACGTTGCACATATAAATCTAACAATTAATAAACTTATGGTCTTCATCTTTAATCAGCAAAGAATAAATCATCTGGATAACAATCTTATACGAATATAAAAAGGTTTTGGGAAGAAAGCGGAAGTAATGTTCATTTAAGAATTTATTCAAAAAGAATAGCCTGGCCATCTTGTGGTAAGAGCTGAAGCAGGTACTCTCAGCTCGGCGCGGCCTGCTGCAATCCGTGGAGGAATGCGACGCCGAGCCACCATCATGCCTGGGCACTTACAGGAAGGCTTCGGCTGCGTGGTCACCAACCGATTCGACCAGCTATTTGACAACAAATCGGACCCCTTCGAGGTGCTGAAGGCAGCAGAGAACAAGAAAAAAGAAGCCGGCGGGGGCGGCTTTGGGGGCCCTGGGGCCAAGAGCGCAGCTCAGGCCGTAGCCCAAACTCCAACGCGGTGGGCAAACAGCTGCATAAAGAGTCCCAGAAAGACATCAAGAACCCGCTGCCTCCCAGCGTCGGCGTGGTTGACAAGAAGGAGGAGATGCAGCCACCTGTGGCACTTAAGAAAGAAGGAAAAAGACGCGTTGGGAGAAGACCTGATCAACAACTTCAGGGTGAAGAGAAGATAATTGATAGGAGACCAGAAAGGCGACCACCTCGTGAAAGACGATTTGAAAAGCCGCTTGAAGAAAAGGGTGGGGGGCTTCCCTGGTGGCGACCTCTTGGAAGAGGTCGAGGAGGTTGTGGACGGGGAATGGGCCTGGGAGATGGCTTTGATTCTCGTGACAAACGTGAATTTGATAGGCATAGTGGAAGTGACGGATCTGGCCTGAAGCATGAGGACAAGCGTGGAGGTAGCGGATCTCACAGCTGGGGAACTGTCAAAGATGAATTAACTGACTTGGAGCAATCAAATGTGACTGAGGAAACACCTGAAGATGAAGAACATCCAGTGGCAGACACTGAAAATAAGGAGAATGAAGTTGAAAAGTGAAGGAAGAAGACCCAAAAGAAATGACTTTGGATGTGTGGAAGGCTATTCAAAATAAGGACCGGGCAAAAGTAGAATTTAACATCTGAAAACTAAAAGAAGGTGCTGACAGGCAGTGGAAGAAGGGATTTGTTCTTCATAAGTCAAAGAGTGAAGAGGTTCACGCTGAAGACTCGGTTATGGATCACCATTTCCGGAAGCCAGCAAATGATATAACGTCTCAGCTGGAGATCAATTTTTGAGAGCCTGGCCGCCCAGGACATGGTGGCAGGGGAGGACGAGGTGGCCGTGGGCGTGGTGGACGTCCAAACCATGGCATCAGGACTGACAAGTCAAGTGCTTCTGCTCCTGACATGGATGACCCAGAGGCATTCCCAGCTCTGGCTTAACTGGGTGCCATAACACAACCCTGGTTCCTTTGTGGACCCTCCCCTTTGAGGCTTGCATGCTTAAGGATCCCAAACAACTAAGAAATTTAAAAAAAAAAGAAAGAAAAGACTGTCATTCATACCATTCACATCTAAAGACTGAATTTTATCTGTTTTGAAAATGAACTTCTCCTGCTACACAGAAGTAACAATATGGTAGTCAGTTTTGTATTTAGAAATGTATTGGTAGCGGGGATGTTTTCACAATTTTCAGAGATTATGCATTCTTCATGAATGCTTTTGTATTACTGCTTGCAAATATGCATTTCCACATTTGAAATATAGGTGTGAAGAGTGTGTACCAGTTTAAAAAAGAATAGCATAAAATAGATTCTGTGGACAACTTTGCATATAAATATAAGGGTCTGGAGCCTCAAAGAAACCAAATTCATTGTTAATTTTTCAAAGATGAAAACCTAAACAAAGTGGCACATTACATAAATGAGCCACTAATGATAAATAATGAAACAGTTAATTTTCTCTAGTGAGCAATGACAACAAATTTTTGAAAAGTAAACATTTAATTTCATGTTGATTAAAAAAATAACGAGGTTTGATTTCAGTATTTTAATGAGACTGAACTAATTTTGTCTTAGCCTATCAAATAGTGATTCTAAAATTTTTCTGAAGTGTCCGAGATTTGTAAGCTATGGTTTACTTGGTGTAACTTTATTGGCTGGATATTTAATTATTGTACATTAATTTGCTCATTCAGATTATGTACCTCACTCAAGGTACACTTTTTAAAGCAAAATCCAGGAAATACATAAATGTTCTCAATCCATCTATAGCCAGCCATTTCCAATCTGCTTCTCATTCTGTGCTCTGAAGTCCATGGGATTACTTCTAATTTGCTCTTCCAAGTTTCTCTGCTCCATCAATACTGATTCAGTATGTGCTACTCAGACTATTTTGTGGCTCTATTATTTACTCCAATAGCTTCTGTCAAATGCCAAGAAGAGAAGATGTTAAAAATGACATAACGCTAGTATCAGGGAAAAAAATCCCAGCTACTCTGCCCATGTGGTAGAGACAGAACAATACAGGGTAAATATTTTTAGTTTTTTTGTGTGATGGGATTTGGTTAGGTTTTGTGGTTTAAAATTAATAATTTCCATTCAAGGAAATTACAATGCTTTCTCCATACTGTAAAGCTCATTATGTGTAGTTGTAAGATTAGAGTGGTGTTTTCCCCACTTCAGAGAGATGCTGTTACAGCAGAAATTAAAGATGTGGAAAAGACGGCACACATCAGAAAAAAGGAGGAAGAGGACCCAGTGACTTAAGTTGTATTTTATATTTAAAAGAAAAGGAATTGGTGATGTCACACAGCAACGACAGCAAAAGCAGCCAAAGTTGGAGAGAAAACAGAGCCATCAAGTTGAGAGAACTGTGCTGACATACACATGCTGGAGGCATGAGGGACTCCGTGTGGCTCAAGGACTAGGGTTTTGATTGCAAATGATACATTTTCAGGGACTCCCTAAAATGTTGAAAAGATTTTGTGGATGGCCCAAAATAGTGTTTTATTACAATTATTATGACCCTATGTTTACTCCAAGGTTATGTGACTCTCGACTTAAGAAAAAATGCACAGGGCTTCCCTGGTGACGCAGTGGTTGGGAGTCGGCCTGCTGGTGCTGGGGGCGCGGGTTCGTGCCCCGGTCTGGGTGGATCCCATGTGCCGCAGAGCGGCTGGGCCCGTGAGCCATGGACACTGAGCCTGCGCGTCCGGGGCCTGTGCTCCACGGCGGAAGGGGCCATGGCAGTGAGAGGCCCGCGTACCACAAAAGAGAAAAAAAAAGAAAGGAAAAATGCACAACGTGAGAGTTGAGAGTTAAGTTTTATTTGGGGCAAAATGAAGATTGCAGGCCGGGAGACAGCATCCCAGATAGCTCTGAGAAACTGCCCCAAAGGGGCAGGGGGGAAGGTCAGTATATATGTGATTTTGGTGAGGGGGGAATACATGCAATCAAGCACATATTTTTTACAGAAGGTTTCTGCTAGTTTCATGCAGGTTACTCCTAGTCACGAGGAGCAGACGTCACCATGGAGGATTTTAGTGCTTTTCTAGATATGAGGAGATACAAGGCTCATAAAATTGGCTCCTGAAAATATCTAACTATCTGAAGACCTGTTCTGCCAGTGTATCCCAGAGCACAGAGTGGCTCATTTCAGCTCTCCACCCTGAACCCCTTTTAAGGGGTGTTGAAAGTCAGCATCTGCAGCTGCACATGATTTAATCCTTGTAGAGGTAGATGGCAAGTGCCAATGGAAAATGCCAATTTGTAGTTGACATGACCCATTCCCATATCCCGTTATCCCCGTCCATTCACAGCCAAATTTCCAGAGAGAATAGTCTATAATAGCTGTCTCTATTTTCCCCTCTTTACTCACCAATAATCACCAGTGCTTGTCACCCTGAAATATGGCATCGAATACCAGCAATTGCTCTTTCCTCTGGTAAAGGTCACCAGTGTCTTCTAAATTATCCAGCTGTGGGAGAATTTCTGTCCCTGAACTTTCTATAGCATTAATGGATTGAATACTTTCTCCTTTTCAAATACCTATGTTCCCTTTGCTCAAAATGTCTTTTGCCCCAATATTTCTCCTCCAAGGTACTGCTTTCTCCTGATTTGCCCCCATTTTGCTTTTTGTTCCCCCTTATTTTCTTTAGTGTTTCTGGTATTCATTTTTAAAATATGTGTCTCCCCTGGATTGTTTCATTGACCCCGTTTGCTTTACAATTCGTACTTCTCAATTTGCCCTCAATTCACGCTCTGCCTGGGTGATCTCACCCACTCACATTTATTCAAATACCAGCTAGAAAGAAAAAAGGAATCCAAGAAAGTCTTCCCTGTCTTTTATTCACACAGGTCCAACAAACTCACCTCCTCCAGAATATCTTCACTGATGGTTGAGTCGGTTTAAATATATAACCTCTTTTCACTTGCAGCCCAATTATGTTTACTCCATAAACATTATTTACACTCAATGCTGCTAACTTACTCCTTTGGAGTTCAAGAGTTTTATGTGTTTTTTGTCCTTATTTTTACTTAATTATATTGAAAAAAAGTAGCATGTTTAACTTCATTTATGTGATACTTAGTAAGATTTATAGAAAAGCAGGAATTGTCTTTTGGGTGCTAAATTTATCTTACAAGTTTCTCAAAAACATTTTTAACAAAAATCATATCAACATCCCAATTCCTTTAAAATTTCAACTACACACACACTGACACACCCACATTAAGAAGCAGAGTTTGTCATATTATTGGACAATAACAGTCATGATCTATCTCCAAAATTAAGATATTTTTGTTATATATGGTTTTCCATTATTCACATTTTAAGTAAGAAATCTTAAAAGCTAGAGCATTGCATACAATGAATTGAAACCAGCTCAAGAGTCTTTAAAAATTCTTGGTTAAACTCAGACATGAATCTAAGACTAACTATGTAATGTTATAGAAAAGTACAGAAAAACCAATGTTCAAAAGATTAAAATACACATGTGAAAAAAGATAGATGTAAAAAAATAAGATAAATGCTACATAAAACATTTTTCTTATTCAGAAAACTAGCTTCAGAATAACTATCCCGCATTACTAATTAACAAATAATCCTTTCAAACAAAACTCAAAATAATATGAATAAAATACATGATATCACATTATGAGATGTTTTAAAAATAATAAATAAATTTTATTCAAGGGAGTCATGGCCAGAACTGATGATGTTCCAGACAGAAGATGTTTATTTAGCTTACAAATTTCTTTTACTAATTAGAAATATTGGTGTTAAGATGAGAACTCCAAATTTCATTTATTTCTTAAATTTATATTCAAAAGATAAAGTTAGAATTAAATACATTAATAAGCTGCCATTGATGAAAAAGAGAAAGCTTTGACCTAAAAATATGATGATTTAGTGTCTTCACTTACTGATTATATCTTGGCTCTTCCTTCATTTTACTGATAGAAGTTCAGGTAAAGAGCTTATTAACATAGAAAAGAAAAGCCTCAAAGTGTGCATTTAAAATAATGCTTTGAAGAAACGTAAAAAGATCTGAAGCATGTGATTTTTCCATAACTGCATATACATAACACGAAAAAAACCTTAAATGCATTTTACATTTAAAATATTTGAAACATTTAATGATTTGACATTTCAAGATAATTTCTAATGACAAAAGGGTCTACCTATTTTTAATATTTATGTATTTGCCTTGCTAGCTTATAATTCCTGCAATGATTTATTTGTTTTTTTTTTTTTTTTTTCAGTTTTTCTTTCCCAAATTCTGTTAAGGTCACTTTCAATCTCTCTCTGTTGTCATATAATCTCTTTTTTTTCATCTTTATTTTTACTTTGAGCCTTCATTTCAAAGTAGATAAAAATAATAGAAAGTGCTTACACTTAACATCATACTTAGCATTTATGAAGTACTCCCCCAAGCACTTTGCTTCTATCAAATCATTTTCTTCTTTTCAAGAACCTATGAGGTAGATATTATTATTGTCATCTTCATTTTGCCATTGAAGACACTGAAACACAGAAATAATAAGCAATCTGCCAGGTAACCCAGCCAATAACCTGCAACTCAAGATTGAACACCACGTGGTCTGGCTGAAAGGCCATGTGTTAGCCATAGTACTGTGCTGACTGTTAACTTTTTTGAAATCAAGAAGAAGTGTTGCTTCAAATGTTCTTTTGCTCTCTCACAGGTAAGCAGCAAGGATGTTCCCTCACATTGGAGAAATCTGGCCTGTATTGGACATGAAAGTTTATCCATGACCTCCAAATCCCCAAACCTCAAAGACTCTTCCGAACCCACCTAGGATATTTGATGATGTCTATCCATCCTTATTTGAAATTCTGTTCTTGTTTAGTTAAACATCAGTATGAATAATTCCTTCTGTCTCTGATGTCACTTTTCTGTCTTGCTTCTTTGTTCTACTTCTTCAGTGCTGCTGTTCTCCGAGCTTCTAGCCTCAGTTCTCTAGACCTGCGATGTGATACACTCTCCTTTGGTGATTTCATCCCCTCTCATTGAACGAGAGCCTCACTTATGCCAGTAACTCCCCTCTCTGTAGCTTCAGACTAGCTTTCCTACTGTTTATTCCTACATTTATCCTGCTGTTCCTGGACATTTCAAACTTCATGTCCCACAAGTGCCCCTTGTCATGTTCTAAAGGAGACCGATTTTCTTTCTTTACAAATTTATTTCTTG